TATTCATCTTGCTTACATGTTCAGCTTTGAGTGTATAAGCCTCCCTGAAGTAGACTTACAGTAGGCCCTCAAGAGCCTGGGAACTGAGCCTCCAGTTACACTCTCCTTGGACTTGCAGAATCGTCTGTATTTTAACTTCTGAGAGGTCTGACTGGGGATGCATGAGGGGACGCTCCCTGCCAGTGCAGATGGAAGGTTCCACACTGCTATGTTGTCTCCTGTGATCACCCACCAGAACGGGTGTTTCTCTGCATGGTTTGCAGGTAAGGATGACAGAGAGTAATGTCTTTGTTCAGTGAACATATGAGCATCTACACACATTGACTTGATTTCACACAACGTGATCAGCCCATGTATTTATTTAGGGAAATAGATTCAATTCAAATAAGAACATGAGTATGGTACTGAGGCTTTGCTTGTGTTTGGCCCTGTGGAAAGAAGATAACTTAAGGACAGAGAAGGAAGTCTGAGCTCAGTGCAAAATAGGCAAAAGCCACAGCGGTCATTGGCTACTGCAAGGGAAGGTTTCTTCTAGGGTGGGGAGTGGGTGTTGGCAGACTCTCAGGTTGGCAGGTTAGAACGAGGCAAGGGAGGGGAGCCTATGAGTCAGATGAAGAACTCTAGGAGCCACAGGTAAATCAATGGTGAATTGACGCATCAGGGTCACATTTACAAGGTCAGTTAGGTGTGACCTCAGGAAAGACCTCATACCTGCGCCTCCAGAATAGCAGATAGAGCAGGAGCGCACCCCGCAGAAGGACAAGCACGCTGATCCACCAGCCGCTCCCGTGGGACTTGTGCCATTTCTGCCACTTCCACAGCCTGGACAGCAGTCAAGGTCCCTGGGTCCCCTGTATGTGGGCTGCCACCTTCTCCGCCACCCTCCGGAGCAGCTCCTCGGGACACGCCCAGTGCAGGGCCTGCACCAGGCCATACACTTTATTGGTTTAGTGGGTGTCCCCGTTCTCCCTGACCAGGGTCCCTACCAGCTCCAGAAGCTCCTCTGCCTGGGCCTCCTGCTCCTGGCCCCTAGCTCTGAGGTCAAAGGCACAGACTCAGCCCCTGCATGTGACCACCAGCTCCCGCAGGGCATGGTTCTCCGTGCAGCACATGTAATACTGTAGGTCCTCCTTCCTGGTGAAGGCGATGACTGTGCACTTCAGGACGCCCTCCCGGAACATCACCCTCCCAGTCCTCACAGCCTGCTGGTCCTGGACAGTGAAACGGCCCAGGTGGGTCACCAGCAGCAGTGCGTGGGGCCCGGGAGCGGAGAACAGGTCGCAGCAACCTCTCTCCTCGCACTGGGGCTCTGCCTTGAGGACTTCACTTTTCCTACCACCGGATCCCGACAGCGCAGATTTCCCCTTTTCCATTCGTTTTGATCAATTGGATTATAATACGCCTTTTGTATAGTTTTCTTCATTTAAAAAAAAAAGAAAGGTACAGATAGGATTTCACTATGTTGCCCAGCTGGAGCGCAGTGGCAATCACGGTGCACCAGGCCTGGAACTCCGGGGCTCAAATGACCTCCTGCCTCAGTCTCCCAAAGCTGGGAGGAGGTCATTATGTCTGGCTTTCCTCATATTTTATCTGCTTGAGGTTCACTGAATGCTTGGGTCTCTGGGTTTATAGCTGTCATCAAATTTGGAAGACTTTTGGCCATGATTTCTTCCAAATTTTTTTTCTGCCCCTCTTATTTTTAGTGAATCCAGTTGCATGCACATTCCACTTGAGGTTCTCCCACGGCTCATTGAAGTTCTATTCGTTTAAAGTTATTTTTTTTTTTCCTTTTGTGTTTGTGTTTTGGAACTTTTCTATTGCTCTATCTTCAAGTTTGCTAATCTTTTTTCCCCCAAATCTCATATTTTGTTAATTCTATTCAGTGTAATTTTCATGTCTTGTATGGTCATTTTCATCTTTAGAAGTTAATTTGGATTTTGTTTTCTGTCTTCCACATCTCTGCTTAACTGTTGGAACATACAGAACACAGTTGTAACACCTTTGTCGATGTCTTTGGCTGTCAATTCTAACATTAAATTCAGTTTTGATTGACTTAACTCCTCATCATTGGTCATATTTTCTTGTCACTTTCCATGTTTGGTAATTTTTTATTAGATCCAGACATCTTGTTTTGACCTTGATGGGTGCTGAATATTTTTCTACTCCTGTAAACATTCTTGAGCTTCCTTCTGGGATGCATTTAAGTTACCTGGAAATAGTTTGATCCTTCAAGTCTTGCTTTTAAGATTAGTTAGATATAAGAGAAGTTTTCTGTCTGGAACTAAGGGTAAGGCTCTTCTGTGTACCCTACCAAATGTCCCATGAATCACAAGCTTTTTTTGTTTGTCTGATGGGGACAGATGCTATTCTTGGTCCCTTGTGAGTGCAGTGCAGGACCCTCTTTTCCATAATCCTCTTGAGTGGTTCTTTCCCTGTCCTCGGGGGATTTCAGCATGTGCATGTGCTGGTAAGTACCCAACTGTGAGATCAGGGGAACCTCTACAGGCTTCTGTCCAGCTCTCTCCTCACTTACACTCTGTTCTAAAACTTTGGATCTGAAGCAGTCCTCCCATCTTGGCCTTTCAAACAGCTGAGATTATAGGCTCTCTTCTATGAAGGTCAGCCACCTCTGTTTCTCTATAATCACAGCTCCATCTTCTCAAATCAAAGACTTTCCTGAACTTGACCTGGATTCCCCACATATGTTAGTGGCTTAATGTTGCATAACAAATTACCACAAATTTAGCAACTGAAAACAACACACATTTATTATCTCACACTGTTTGTGGGTCGGGAGCATAGGCCTTGCTTAGCTGTGTTCTCTGCTTCAGGTTTGCAACCCAGACTGCAATCCAGGTGTTAGCTGGAGCTGAAGTCTTATCAGAGGCTCAATTGATGAAAGATATGAACCCTCAGAATGTTGGTAGAATTCATTTCTGTGTGACTATATGACTGACAACTTTGACCTTTTGCTGGGTGTTGGCTAGAGCACACCCCGAAGTCCTAGATGCTGCTTGCAGTTTCTGCCTCTTGCCCCTGTCCATAGGCAATTCACAATGTGGAAATTTTCTTCTTGAGGGCCAGCATAAGAGGGCGAGGGCATCTTCCTAGGGCTATATAAATCACTAGAGTGACATTCCATCACTTATGCCATGTTCTGCTGGTTAGAAGTAGGTATCAGGTCCCACTCAAACCCAAATGGAAGTGTTTCCACAGAAGTGTGAACACCAGGAGCTGGGATTCACTGGGAGTCATCACAAGGTCCATCTGCCACACCATCTCTGAGCTGTGACCTGGGAACTCTCTCAAGGCGGAAGGCTGGGGCCACTGTAAGTGTTGTCCTATTTGTTTTCCAGTTAGTTCTACGTGATTACTCTCTTTTGTTATATGATGTTCACTGTCTTCTGTTATTTGTCCACTTGTTGTTATTTCTTTTTCTTTTTGGGAGGGGGGCAGATTTTTAATTTGTTATCCATGGTAGAGTGCCATGTCATCATAGCTCACAATAACCTCAAACTCTTCGGTTCAAGCAATCCTACTGCCTCAGTCTCCCAAGTAGCTGGGACTACAGGTGCCTGCCACAATGCCTGGCTAGATTTTTTGTTTTTTAACAGAGATGGGGTTTCTCTCTTGCTCAGGCTGGTCTCCTGAGCTCAAGCAAGCCACTGATCTTGGCGTCCCAGAGTGCTAGGATTACAGGCATTAGCCACCATGCCAAGTCAATTTGATGTTGTTTCACATGAGGGGATAAATCTTGTTCTTCTTATGCTATTTTGAACTGAACAGGATGGATCTCTGGTACAATGCTAAATAGAAGCAATGATAATGTGCATTTGTTTCATATTTTAATACAAACACATGCAGTTTTTTGAAACTCTCTTCATCTGTCTACTTTTAGATGATTTCCAATATCTTTACATGGATTTACATTTTTTTTCAAATTTTTATAATAGTTATCCACAGGAAAGTTTGTATAATCAATTTACTTCTCTACCATTAGGAAGGAGTAATAGTTATTGATTTTAAAAAACAATTTTTCTATTGTAATTTTATTTATAAAAATTTCACCATTTCTTTCAGATGTATTTCATTATTTTTGGCAGTTTCTTGTTCCTTTTCCTTTTGAAGGGTGTGTGTCATCTTTCAAAAAATATTTCATAGGTGTTTAATATGGTGTAACCAGTATTTTGATATTGAAATCTTTTGAGTCTAATTCTGTTTTGTTTTTTTTTTTTTTTAGTCTGTTTGCTCTAATTCATAGACATATAACATGGGCTCAGTTTATTGAAGTTACTTGAATATCTGAATATTCAAGTAAATTGGAAATGTTTTCTTCTAGATCAGATTCATGTTTGCTTCTACTGGAAGTCAAGAGCTCAGCTGATCTGAGATGCCTTCAGCCTCCTGTGAAGGCCCAAACTTAACACAGAAGCCTCAGAATCAGCTCCCCATGTTCACTGACAACCCAGGACCAAGTTTCTCCTTCTCAGGACTGATCTTGACGTTGGTGAGCTCATCAATCATAAAAATTCACTTTCTTATAACCTTAATACAATTAGCCTCTGCTTGCATTTAGCAGATAAGGTTTTAGAATATCCAGTTCACCATCTTACCTGACATCTAAGCCTCTACGTATATATGTTTCAATGCTAAATTTGAAGGGTGCCAGGGCTAAAATCTGGCTAAACCCCTTTCAATGTTAATCAAATTTGATGTACATAAAACAGACTACTGATGTGTGTGTCTATGTGTTCTTGATGGGCACAAATTTGTTTTGTTACAGAGTAAATGAACCATGAAAAGAATGTTAAAGAAAAGTAATCCTACGAACTTTACACTTTACTTATTATTATTTTATTGCTGTTTTATTGTATTCATATTAATACATGTTATTAGTATTATAAAGAAGAAAAGGTATTTTCAGGAGCATAAAAATTGTTAGAGATTTGCAAAGGAGAGGAATTTTATATTTACCATTTTCAAAAGGTTTTAGTACTGTAATTTTAATCAAATAGAGTTTTTAAAATATTTTGGTTCCTTAATAAATGGTGTAATATGTTAAGATTTAAACATTTCACAGAATCTCAGCTATGACATGAGGCATCACATTCTACAGGGAAGGCACTGTGCTCCACCCACCAAACGATAGTGAGTAAATATTAATAATCACCGACTGTAACTACAACCCAGAAGGCTTGCATTGTGGAACAATGGTCCTTCGCAAGATTATTATGACCTCCTTGAGTATAATGCACAGAAAGCTACAAAATAAATGGCACATGCCGGAGGGTAAGGAGTAAAACAACTTGCACACACTGCGCAACACACAGAACAACAGAACCAGCAATTTGACACACAGTTGAATACAAAATAAAACACACAGTTGTGTTTTGATTAGGATTCTTTGTAGGCAATTTGCTTTGGCTATGGCTATGTGACGTCTCTGAATTTCCATGTACTTTAGCAAATTCCCTCTGAAATTCTTTGATCTTTCTTCCGACCTGACAGATCCACAATTTGGCCCTTGCACGAGGCTATACAGTTCATTGGTGAAGTGGCCGCCCCTCCTCTCCCTCATCAAGCCCTCAATTAAGTCCATCAGCTCCTTCACTTGGTCATCCCGATCACTCCCCTCAGCTCGATTATTAAAGGCACAGACACGCCCCCCACATGCTGCCACCAGCTTGCTGAGGGCTTTGTTGTCCGACTCATGGATGTAGTCTATCAAGGAGCCACCTTTGAGGTCTTCCTTGTGGGTAAAGAGGATGATTGTGTGTCTCATGGCATCCTCTCCAAAGATCTCCTGCACTCTCTGGATAGCCTGCTGGTCCTGGGTGGTGTACCGGCCCAACTGGGTCACCAGCAGCAGCACGTGGGGTCCTGGTGCAGAGAGTGAGTAGCACCTCTGCACCTCTTGGTACAGGTCTTCACACTGGTCCTTCTCAGAAAACACACCTGGCGTGTCAATAATGACCATCTCTCTCTCTCCCCAGCTTCCCTGACTTTTGCTGCAAGTCTTAGTCAAGGTCTGGGCACTCAGCTTGGACTCAAATGCTCGCTTCCCAAGGATGCTGTTTCCTGTAGCACTTTTGCCGGTTCCTGTTTTGCCCATGAGAATGATCCTCAGCTCTGATCCACTGGCATGTTGGCTCTTTGTACATGGTCCTATTAGGAACAAGTTTACTGTGTTATTACTCTTCTGATCATGGCAATGGAAAATTTTCAATGATAATGAGGTATTCCTCATTATGGGAAAAAATACTCCCACAATCTATTGTATTTATGAAATAAAACCTAAGTCCATTATCAAATAAAATGTACTAATTATGGTTTTTAAAACATTTTGATTTCTCTAGGATTGCAAGGATATTCTCATATTGAACTCTGAAAGAACATTCTTGGACAATGAAATGAATTTAGAAACACATCTCATCACTTAACTCTTGCCTGAATCACTCAGTTGTGGCCCTCTTGAAGACAAATTTTATGGAGGTCAGAGATGTGTAGCCAGGAGTGTGGGTTCCATCTCAAGATGGGGCAAATAACCTGGCTCTGCTCCACTGGTAGAAATTGCCCTTAGCTGGGCAGAGTGTGGTTATGACCACCAGGGAAATGACTGGACCAGGGAAATAACAGAACGAGTAGTGTAAAATTATTTTTACTAATAATACAGAGAAATTACTGTATTATTTACTAAGAATTTACTAAGAAACAGCTGATAGTTTATAGAGGATACCAAACTTGTGCTTAGAAAAGACGGCATAATCTTTATATGAGGCAAGAAAAGAATGTGGTAAACTCCCCTCTCTTCCCTGTATCCTTCCTCTTCCAGGGAGAGGAATGAATAGGGACAGACATATAAAGGACTTTCAGACACACAAACGGGGAAGGCATGGAAGCCATGCTGCCATATCTGCTGGTCCATGCCATGGTGAGAGGAATGACTATCTGGGATGAGTTAGTGGCAGAATCAAGAAGCTGCTAGTGGCTTCTGTTATGTGGCAGAGACAGGGGAGCCACTTAACTTGCAAGGCAGGGTTAATTCTGGCTTCTGGGGTCAATTCTTTTTCTCTTTTACTGTAAAGGAGGAACATTTGACCTATATAAATGAATCAGAATATTCTAAGTGAGGAATCTTTCTGGCAGTAGATCTTGGAAGATAATCTAGGAGTTCCTAGAGAACCAGGATTCTCCTGCTAAGCCCATTGAGTTAGAGAAAGTTGGAGAAGGGAAGTCTACAAAGAGTATAAAATATGAGAGCCAAGATGGAACTTAGAAGGGAGTTAGCTTTCTGAGAGGCAACAGCAGTGGGAAAGAATAAAGAATCTGGATCTGCACTGCCTACTTTTCACTGTTTTCCAGTTGCTAGCCATGTGATTTTAGATAACTGCTTAGTTTCTCTGCACCTGGAAAAAACAATGGTTTATACCATGTGGTGTTATTTGAAAGATTAAACAAGCCAATATACATAAAGAATGTAAAATAGTGCCTGTGTACTTAATCACTTTGTGAACATCAGCCTATTATTGTCTAAGGCAGCCTCCTTATAAATGAAGTAACTGTGTCCTATATGGTTAAGAAACTTAGACAAGCCTGGGGGTGGTGGCTCATGCCTGTAATCTCAGCACTCCTAGAGGCCGAGGCAGATGGACTGACTTAGCTCAAGAGTTAGAGATCAGCCTGAACAAGAGCAAGACCCCATCTCTCCTAAAAATAGAAAAATTAGCCAAGCATTGTGGCATGTGCCTGTAATCCCACCAGCTCAGGAGTCTGAGGCAGGAGGATTGCTTGAACCCAGGAGTTTGAGGTTGCTGTGAATAATGATGCCACAGCACTTGAGCCTGGGCAGCAGAGTGAGATTATGTCTCAAAAAAAGAAAAGAAAAGAAAAGAAACTTAGACAAAGCCACCCAGCTAGTTAATAATGGTGACACCTACTGTTTATTAAGATGTGCTTGGCTCTGTGCCAAGTGGTTTACATGCCTTATCTGATTTGTTCCTCCTAGCAATGGAGTTTGAGTTAGGATTAGGTACCTGCCAGGGGTCTTGTTAGGTTCAAGTGACCTCTCTGGCTCACAGCACTGCTTAGGGCTCACTGGGGTGCTAATCTACTCAGGATTGGAAACAGCTTGTCAGAGGGACATATCAGGTCTTCCTCCTAGTGAGAGTCATCTCAGGGCAAGGAGATGGCGCTTTGGGCAGGTACTGAGCCTTCCTGACCCACAGGAGCCAGGGTTTCCTGTAATAACTCTGGGGCTCTCTTAGCCTCTGAATTCTCTGGAAGAAACATGACAGTTGCAAGAGTCACCCTGCTCAGGGAATTCCAGAACATAGCCTCCCATCATGTACTGATAGTTCTCTGAGTATAGACATTATTCACCCATCAAGGGAAATTTTTAAACACAAGCAAAGTTTCTTCATATTAAATTACCAGAGAATCATAGCTGGAAAGTTTAACCAAAGATTAAATTCTCAGGCAAAAGGAAGGGAAAGGGCTAGTAATCTTTTACCCATAGGCTCCTCTTGTTCCTACCTTGTTTTATCCTAGTTTGCCCATATATCTGCAGCTTGCCCAAGGACACAGAGCTATTAAAATTCATGAATTGTGTGAATGGAAAAGCTTGCCTTTTACTTTGTTTTATGCCTCACGTTGCTCTGCCAACCCCTGTTACATATATGTAAATATTCTCTCTCCTAATCAAGTTTATTGCAATCTGTGGGCTCTTATTTTCCAGTGCAGTTACAGCCTTACAATGGACATGTATTAGAAACTTTTGCCCTAGTTACTGGCCCACCAGCCAGTGCTGTGTCCTTTTCTCCCATGGGAGGGAACAGGGGAAAGACCCTTCCCCATGGTGAGCCAAGAGTGGGGCGTCTCTAAAAGTACTACTCGTAAATATTGTGCTTGCCTCAAGAAATTGAGATGAGCATTTACTGAACTATAGAAATTTGTAACTTTCCTCAAGTGTAGCAAAGTGAAGAGAATTCTTGAACAAATTTTTGAAAGAAATGAGCAGATGTTACCTGGAGTTTGGGTAAACAGGAGGACTACTGCAGAGAGAAGGAGCTGAGGTCTGGTCAAATAAGTCACCAGAGAGTGTGCAGCTGTGTCAGGGAAGTGGATAAAGGAGTACGTTAGGGCATTAGGGACCAGCCCGGAGACAACTGTGGGACCATGGGACCCCAGTGTTTTGGCCTCTTTCTTCAGTGACCCCACCTCCTGTCTGATCCGGAAAGGGAAAAGAACAGAAGGGCTGAGAAGACAGAGCTGGGAGAGACAGGAGACCTCTAGAAGGCCCCAGAGCTAAGGCTGAGAGAAGAGAAGCCAGATGGAATATAAGTTTGATGGTATGTGTCACAGTAATGTTAATGAAAGTGTTCTTGTAATCCATGCGAATCAGAAAGAAATCTGCCTAAGATGGTGCTGAGAGTTAAGGTTGCATAATTAGAGGCCATGTCAGGAGGGGGAAAGGCTATATTGTTCCTCATTTGGATCTCACAGAGTTCCGCTTGTGCAATCAGTAAGTTCCAGACACAAGGAAACCAAAGTCCCACCCCATTCTCACAGATGGGGTTGAGTGTAAAGTGGACTTGGGGGAGGGGGGAGATCTGCACTCTTCTTGATGTGAGAGACTAAAGACAGGGCTGGTGGGGGGCAGGCAAAGAGCTAGGAGAGGGTAGGACAGGGGAGGTCAAGACACAGAGAGAAACCAAGGGAACCTCCCCAGGAATGAATAGCAGAGCAGGTGGTGGGAGGGGGAAGAAGGTGGAGGAAGGGGAGAGAGCAAACCTATAGAAAGGAGAGAGAGAGGAGTGAATGGCCGGAGAAAGAATGTTCCAGGCAGATCTAAAAGATCAGTGTACAAGGAGAAAGTCTGAATGCATATTTTGGTTCCTGGTAGAATGTTTTAGCAGTTTAGTTTTGAGCTGGTGATGGTGGCAATGGTGGGAGTTAGAATAAGACCCCTCACTGCTCCCCCCTTTAACAATTTTGCCCAGGTATCATCAGAAAGAGGTCCACACAGGAGGTCCCTTTCTCACCAGAGCGATGGCTTTCCTTTGGGTCCATTGTGTTCCTGAGGGACAGAGAGACAAGGAATTTTATTTTTCAGTTCTAAATCATGAGAGACCCTTACATTTCTAGACAACCATGTTTGCCTGTTCGTAATGGACAAGGTGGGTGGAAAGAGAATCACTATACCTATCTAACAGAGACGTTGAGTCACTTGCCCAGGCTCCGCAGAGATGTGGTTTCATCTGTCAATCCCAAGCCCTGCTCTCTGGTTTCCTTCCTCTCACGAACCCTCCCTGTCCCCTTCTTTCGCTTTCCCTGGCCTCACTCCCTTCACTTCTCCCAGCTTTTATCCAGGTGTGCCCCTCCTCACAGCAGAGGCTCAGTCCTCTCTTCCTTCTCTCCGTCCCCCATCCTGCCCCTTCCTCTTCTCTGCTCTCCCCAAACCACTCTTCATGTGGAGCCTTTGCCAAGAGACTGCATGAGTTAAGAGCAGGACTCCCCAAATGTAGACTGTCTTTAAACCAGTAATATACCTCACTGGATCCATCAATTACTTGACTTTTCCTCATGCCCTAGTAGTCACTGATAGTGAAGCCCTTGAGATCCAGTAGCTATATAGTGAGAAATATCGGCTCATTTTCATCAGATAGTTTCTCTTGCTTAAATCTGTTAGGCATAGCCCAAGTCTACTAGCGCAGAAAGCTTACAGCCACATGCTAACACCCAAATTCTTCCTAGTTAGCACTTTTTACTGACTTAATGCTAAGGAAACTCTTTGCCAGTACTGTGTAAAATAAATTCTCTATGGCTATCCTATAGACTGGTTTCGTTTCAGCTGACAGAAGTCACTCTGAATTGTTTCCCTTAAAACAGGGCAAATTTGTTCTTAAAAAAATCAAAATAAATTATGCATTGCCTGAGACCCTGAAATCAACATCTGAACATTTAGTTAATGTAAGCTTACCTGATTTATTGTGAAAAGAAAAAGACGACTCCTGGTTTAAACCTGTTACCTTTCGGCTCCACTTCAGGAGAAAAAGAAAAGAACACAGAGACTTCAGATGGCCCGGTCTGCTCTTTAACCTCTGCCCAGCTTCTCAACTGTGAAAGAGCCCCACCACGTGCCTGTGTTTGGAATTCTCCTTTAACCTGCATTTGCCACCATACAGACCAATCTTCTTTTCAAAAGTAAAAAAAAAAAAAAACGGTTTGAATGATTTTGCCTGGGCAGGAAAGAAAGACAGCAATGCCAGGGAATGGTAGGTTTGCGTCCTCCCCACGTGGGCTGTGTCCCAACTGTTAGACATTTGCCTAAATGCAACTGTCCCTCTGAGGAGGGCTTCAACCTCACCCCATAGGCAGCAGGGTGAGGCAGGTGCCGCTGGCAGAGAAGGGAGAACACAGGAGCTGGGGGGGGGAGGGGCGCTCAGAGAAGCACTGTACAGGGGATGAGGGCACAGGGGAGGGAGCCGGAGAGGCACCAGCCTTGTCTTAGTCTGGCTGTAAGCAGCAGCCATTAGCCATCCAGACATTTACCCATAAATCACGCATGGCTTCCGGGCACCCAGGCTGTTTTTTTCCTGTCCAACCCTGTGATTTCATGGGGCGGGGGCATGACACTGGGAGAAATTATCTAGGTAATGTGTACAATAATAATCAAAGTATTCATATTCAGGAAGAATGACCCAAAGAGTTAAAGTTTAAATCATTCAAATATTCTTTTGCTTGTGTGTAGGACCATCACCCCAACAGAGAAAGAGGAAATGATTATTGCAATTAGCTAATGTTAAAGTCAGCATATACACACTTTATTTAGTTCTGTTTTATTAAATGCTTTTATGAGGTGTATATTTGGAAAAAAATTATTTTAATGTTGATTGAGGTATTTCCAGTTTTTTTTTATTGAACTACTAATATTATAAATTACTTTAGTAAGTTTCCTAATAGAAGTGATAAGTTAGGTGTACTTATGTAAAAAGTTGGGTTCCAAGGGATGGAGACTATTGAGAAGAGGAGGAAGAGCGAATATAGATGAAGGAGGTTTGTCAGGGGGTGCTCGCTGGATATACACTTGAGGGACAGAAAGAGCCCAGGACCGGGCAGGGAGAAGTTAGACTGAGAAATAGTCACAATGTCACAGTGAATGCCAGTCCACCTGGAGCTGTAAAGTTGGATGGACTTTCAGGGTGAAGGTGGGGGGCTGGACTTTATAATTCCCACTCGCCAGTTGTTCAGTATAAACTTCCCCTGGGAAAGACACTTGACCCTATGCAAGGCAAAGCCAATTTCTGGACAGGTCTGATGGCTAGACAGTTGAGGGCTAACTGCTGGCCACACTCCTGTTTTTACACTGTTCCTCTAGGTTTGGAGACTAAAATGTTCCTTCTCCCACTCCATGCTTTGCGCCATCCCAGCATGGCTTTTAAAATTCTCACTGATGAAATTTCTCCTTGGTCAAGTCTCCCACTTCTGTCCCTCATGAACACTGACCCATGGACATACAAGGGACATTTCCCCTGCCTTTATATTTCCAGTAAGTGATGTGTCTACGGCCCCAAGTGGGGGGCTGACAGATGTTGGGAGGAGGTGATGATGAAAAGGCTCGTGGCTGAGGAAAGAAGTGTGCTTTACAGTGTGCTGTGGAATTTACAACAATCTGTTTTATTTCATGTGTCAAGGCAATTCTGAGAAATGGGTCAAGCCAATTCAGTCACACTGAGATGTATTTGACAATCCTTCGGTGGTTTCTAGTGAGGGGTTTATTTATAAAGCAGCATTGTTCCATGGAACATTCTGTGATGGAGGAAGTGTTCACTATCTGCATTGTCCAATATGGCAACCAGTGGTCACGTGTGGCTGACTAGCACTTGCATTGTGGCTAGTGCGTGAGAGAAGCTGAATTTTGCATTTTTTCCTTTATTTTCCCTCTTCCCTTCTACCTACACTGCCCTAGCCCTGGAACAAGACCTCCGTGAGAATGGAATTCACATTTTTATTTTAATTTGTATAATTAAATGGCCACTTGTGGCTAGGAGGTAACCATTTTGGAAAGTGCAGTGATAGAGCATATCATTTTTAAGAAGGTGATACAAAACACAGTGTTTAAGAAAAAGAGTGCACTGGTAAAGATATGATGAGACATTGCAAAGGAAAAGAAACAAACAAACAAAAGGATGAAATAGATTAACACCCTAAGATTTCAAAACATGGAATGGGGAGGATTGTTACCAGGAGTTTAAAACCTATGCTGGGGCTCAGCGCCTATAGCACAGTGGTTATGGCCCCGGCCACATACACCCAGACTGGTGGGTTCCAACCTGGCCCAGGCCAGCTAAACAACAATGACAACTGCAACAAAAAAATAGCCGGGTGTTGTGGTGGGCACCTGTAATCCCAGCTACTTGGGAGGCTGAGGCTAGAGAATCGCTTAAGCCCAAGCGATTTTGAGGTTGCTGTGAGCAGAGAAGCCACAGCACTCCACGGAGGGTGACATAGTGAGACTCTGTCTCTAAATAAAAAATAAATAAATAAATAAATAAAACTTATGACGGCTTCTTGTAGGCTTGTTAACTTCCTGCCCTGTTAGGCAGTTTTCAGCTCATCATTCTATGTATTTTGGAGTAACGAGGAGTTCACTGGATGCTTAACCTCAAGGTATCCCTCACTATTTGAACTCTCATAATCTGAATATTTGCTATAAACAATGAAGAATTTCACTGAAAGTTTGTTATTTGTAGTGAAAACCCACAGAAACAAATCTGGCTATGCACACCCACACAGACACTTAGCTGTGAGTCTGGGGAGAAGAAGCAGAGCGAGCTGCAGTCATCTCTCAGCGTCTCCTGACAGGCTCTTGTCTCCTGCCCATGTCATCCAAATGTATTTTCAATTGTTGGAATTATCTTTTCCACTTTTTCCACTTTTCCATGTAAGTGAAAATGCCTTGTATAAGACAGGGACATTTATTGCTGACTTCCAAAGTTTCATGGAAGTCATAGGTGCAAAACAAAACAACAACAACAACAACAGACAAAAAACCCTACTTCAGTCTTTTAAAAGAGGCTTGATTTAGTAATATGTACATTGAAAAATATGAAGGACTATTCAGCTTCTATAACCAAGAACTTACTACCAAAGAATTTATTCAAACTGATGATCAGAATTGTTGGAAGGAGTCAAGCTCAGAGAATAATCTTAAAGATTAATTGACTAAATTTTTAAATTAAAAAAAGTTTTATAGGAATTTTAAATTTGACAGGAGACATCAACAGAAGCATTCTGCAAACAGACGCGATTACAAGCACAGTGTTACTGGAGCAGGAGGTGCATGCTTGCAAGCAAAGGCAATGCGGACAGATGATTGTGTGAGTTCTCCCCATCATGTTGCTTTGTCTTTGAGTTTAAATGATGGGTCACAACCATTTCCTTCTGCAGGGGCAAGTGCAGTGACTTAAAGATAGTTCTGTTTCTTGGAACTGGGCATGGTAAACCTCAGGCATGAAGGGTTCTCCCCTCCTAACCAGTCAGTCCCGCACGCTTCACCCCTGCTGTGTTCACAGCCGTCTGAGGACTACTCTCCTTCCTCTCCCTCCAATTTTCCTTTAGGCAACTCTAGTCAGTAAATAAACGTGTTTTAAATAGTCTTTTTTAAAAAATTGTGAGTGAAATTTTAATTCACTGTTTGTGTGAACCTACTTTTATATTTAAGCTATTATTCTGCATGCTTGTGGAAGATGGTAGAAAAGATTACCTGCATCCATATACGATGTATTCATATTTTTGCTTATCTGTGACAGACTTAAAAGTTTAGTGTTAAATAAACCCATGAATAAAAGTGCTAAACAATTAGCTGCTTGGCGTTGAATAGTCTTACATTTTTGTAGAAATCCTTCGTGATTGTTATTACAGTTGCTTAAGAATGTTTTAAGGGTGTCTGGAGGAAATTGTTGGGGGTTGTAAAGGGGCTAGAAGTGTATTGCTGCTTTCCCCTTTACATGCTGAAATATAGATTCCCTCAATCTAGAATTTTGCTTTGGGACTTCCTTGTTTCAGACAAAACTACATTCAGAACAAGAGATGCCTCTTCCATGGCATACAGTGAGAAGGTGATGCAGTTCCATAGGCTGTGAAGGGAAGGGACTGTGTGGATCATCTCTGAGCATCTGAGATCCTGTTCCCTACACACAACCCGTTTTCTTAGCTTATGAGTCAAGAATAAAGCTGACAATAGTACCTTTAAATTTCTCTGACTTTACAATACTAAAACTTAGGGAAGTATAAAACCATCAGGAGAAGAGTGCTGTCACCTTGGTGAAGCCACCTGGGACAGCCACAGCAGATGGAAAGTGGAGCAGAACTCAGCTGAAAACTAGAGGCTTGCCTGTGGCCCTTGTCTTACCTGTCCCCCCATATCTAGGCCATTTGAGCCACTCTGACTGAGCTCCCATCTGTCTGGAACAGAGACAAGTTGTATCCTTTGCGCTTTGCCCGAATTCTTTTTAATTTGAAAATATTAAGGAGGTACAAGTGTTTTTGTAACATGGCTTGAGCCAGGGCTATCAGTGTGCCCATCATCCGAATAGTGCTCATTGTAGGTAGGTTTTCGCCCCTTCCCCCCCCCGCACCCACTTGATTTCCACTGAGTTTTATTTTCCTCTGTGCACATGTGTACTCATGAGTTAGCTCCAGTTTAACAGCAAGTATATGAGGTGTTCATTTTTCCATCCTTTAGACACTTAGGATTCTGCCCAAATTCTTAATAAACAAACACATGTTTAATCAACATGTTGATTTATCCCAATGAGTTTTGCAGTAGTCTTTTATGCATCAGCCAATAATCAGATCACTGGAATAGATTTCTAGAAAGAAAATTGTTAGATAATTAGTATGAATTATAATTATATGATAATTAGTATGAATTTATAATTGTAACAGACATTGCTGAATGGCCTATGATAAAATTTTAACCAAATTAATTTCACCAATGTTTTATTAGTTTTCCCCATGTCCTTGCTTATAATT